GTCGGATCAGAAGCAGGAATTGGCGACCCAGGGAGCGGGTCAGGAGTTGGTGGTGCGGGCACAGGTGCCGGCGGTGGTGACGGAGTGAATAGAGCAGGTGATGCAATTGACTAGAGGGGAGTTGGATCGCATCGTCGCGGAGGCAGTAGGCCGGGCATTGGCTGCACGAGAGACGGCGATAGCGGAAAATCCTGCTGCAATAGTGGAGAGACCTGCCGCAATAGTAGAAAGGCAAGCCACAGTGGTGGAGAGGTCCGCTGTGGCTGTGGAGCGGCCTGTCATTGTTGCGGAGCGGCCAGCTGCTGAGGTTGAGCAACATATCCCCGTGCTATCTAGGCCTTTAAGAGGAGGTAGTCACCGCAGGGATGATCAAGATGAGAGGTCAGTGATGTCGCCTGTGGTTCTCAGGCCATCTAGGGATGTGCTGATGGAGTAGATGGCGAACCATATAAAGGAGCTCCAAGCTAGGGTGGAGGGTAGGTGGCAGCCCAGGGTGCAGGGTCACCCCTTTACAGACAATGTGTTGGGAGCCGACTTACCCCAAAACTTCAGGGAGCCAAGCATATATTATGATGGGTCCTCGGATCCAGCTAGACATTTGAGGAGTTTTGAGAATGTGGTTGTTTTACATCGTTACAACGATGGTGTTTGATGCAGGGCCTTTTTTGACTACCTTGACGGGCTCTGCTCAGGATTGGTTCCACCAGTTGCCAGCAGGATCCATCTATAGTTTTGATGCATTTAGCTCGTTGTTTATCAATCAGTTCTCCAACATACGAAAGCACAAAAAGACATATATGTCACTGATGCACATCCAGCAGCTTAAGAATGAGTCTCTTAGGGAGTATGTGGCTAGGTTCACGCGGGCGTGTATGGAAGTGCGTACAGCTACGGCGGAGATTAAAGCAGCAGGGCTCACGCGAGGGTTGAAGGCGGGTCACTGCAGGCACTCATTAGCCAAGAAGCCTGCTCGGTCTTATAATGAGTTGTTGGAAAGGTGTACCAAGTATATGAACATGGAGGAGACAGAGGCGGATTTTCTTGCGCAAGAGCGAGTTAGGGGAAGAGGCAGGCGGAGGAGCACAAGTAGGAGGAGAACTAATGTACTGAAAGCATGTTGGGAAGATAGCGCTAAATTGGGAGGGACCATACACCATCCAGGAGGAGTTTGCAGGAGGAGCTTACGAGTTAAAAGATCCCGAGGGTAAGGTCTTTCCTAGGCTTTGGAATGTTGCAAATCTTAAAAAGTATGATTGCTAGTTTGATTGTAACTCTTGAGTTGTTTTTGAAACACTTATGATTTGTTTGATTACTCTACCTTGTTGAATCATTTGTGTTTTGGCTTGAGGAATGCACTAAGCATGAATGGCAAATTTATGCATTATGAAGCGCTTGTGAGCAAATTTTTCTCCTGGTCTAAGTGTCATATGCTCGTAATGAAGTACAACAGGTGTGACGGCTTAAGGCTGAGCTCTGCGAGCTCGGGTGCCATTTAAATGGTGTGATGGCTTAAGGCCGAGCTCTTGTGAGTTCGAGTGATGTTCAAATGGTGTGATGGCTTAAGGCCGAGCTCTTGTGAGTTCGGGTGCTGTTCAAATGGTGTGATGGCTTAAGGCCGAGCTCTTGTGAGTTCGGGTGCTGTTCAAATGGTGTGATGTCTTAAGGTCGAGCTCGTGTGAGTTCGGGTGCTGTTCAAATGGTGTGATGGCTTAAGGCCGAGCTCTTGTGAGTTCGGGTGCTGTTCAAATGGTGTGATGGCTTAAGGCTGAGCTCTTGTGAGTTCGGGTGCTGTTCAAATGGTGTGATGGCTTAAGGCCGAGCTCTTGTGAGTTCGGATGCTGTTCAAATGGTGTGATGGCTTAAGGCCGAGCTCTGGCGAGCTCGGGTTCTGTTCAAATAGTGTGATGGATTAAGGTCGAGCTCTTATGAGTTCGGGTATTGTTCAAATGGTGTGACGGCTTAAGGCCGAGCTCTGGGTGAGTTCGGGTGCTGTTCAGAGGATGTGACAGCTTAAAGCCGATCTCTTTTGAGTTCGGGTGCTGTTGAACGTGGTGTAATGGCTTAAGGCCGAGCGTGTTGGTGCTCGGTTGGCAGCTCAGTTTTGTTTAAAAACCGAACAGGGTGATCTTCGCGGATGATTGCTCGATCTTTCCCCATAGGCCCAGCAGGTTGGTCTTCGCGGATGTTAGCTCGACTTTATAGGACGAGCATGATGATCTTCAGGGATGTTTGCTCAGTTGTGTTTGTAAACCGAGCAAGTATTCACGGATGGGTGCTCGACTTTATAAGCCGAGCATGAATAAAGCCGAGTAGAATGAGAAGTCGTGTATCAGGTTCAGCATTTTAGTAGCCTAGATGATAAATCATGTGTAGGGCTCGACATTTTAGCAGCCCGGATGAAAAATCATGCATAGGGCTCGGCTGTTTAGCATCCCAGGTGAGAGGACGCGTTTTGGGGCGTGGCACTTTAACGGCCCAAAGGCGAGGACGCTTCTTGGGGATGCGACATTTTAACGACAGAAGTGAGAGTTCGTGTTTTGGGGCGCGACATTTTAGTGGCCCAACGGCGAGGACGTATTTTGGGGCGCGACCATCTGACAGGCCGTATGAGACGACGCGTTTAGGGGCCTGGTTTTTTCTTGTGGGCGCGGCTTTTTGATAGCCCAAACAGGAAACGCGTAGTGGGGCCCGAATTTTTAGAGTTGGCGCCGCTTTTTGACAGCCCAAACGGGAAGGCGTGTCTGGGGCCGGCCTTTAAACGGGTGCGTGACATTTTATAGTCCAAATGGGCAGGCGCGTTTGGAGCTCGGTTTTTTCATTGCCCAAATGAGAAGTTGCATTTAGGGTGCGGCATTTTACCTGCCCGAATAGGAGGCCGCACGTTGGGGCTCGACATTTTACTTGCCCGACTAGGGGGCCGCACGTTGGGGCTTGGCATTTTACGTGCCCGACTAGGGAGCCACACGTTGGGGCTCGACATTTTACGTGCCCAACTATGGGGCTGCACGTTGGGGCTCGGCATTTTACCTGCCCAACTAGGAGGCCGCACGTTGGGGCTCGACATTTTACTTGCCCGACTAGGGGGCCGCACGTTGGGTCTCGGTATTTTACATGCCCGACTATGGGGCCGCACGTTAGGGCTCAACATTTTACTTGCCCGACTAGGAGGCCAGACGTTGGGGTTCGGCATTTTACATTCCCGACTAGGAGGCCGCACATTGGGGCTCGACATTTTACTTGCCCGACTAGGAGGTCGCACGTAGGGCTCGGCATTTTACCTGCTCAACTAGGAGGCTGTCCGTATGGGGCTCGGCATTTTACTAGCCCAAATGAGGAATAGGGTGTAGGGCACGGCCTTTTCACTGTTCGGGTTGGATATCGTGGGTAAGGCGCGACTTTTTACCGTCTCGGACGAGGTATCGTTGGTAGGGCGCGGNTTTTTGGCAGCCCGGACGAGAAATCGTTGGTAGAGCGTGGCTTTTTAGTAGCTCGGACGAGAAATCGTAGGTAGGGCGTGGCTTTTTATTGGCCGAAAGGGGCGTTCTCAGGGCCCGGTATTTTACTGGCTAAAGGGGCCTGCCACACGTCGAGCCCGGGTGAGAGGACGTATAGGGGGCTTGACTATTTAGCAGTTTTGGGGTGCGGCATTTTAGCAGCTCGACGGAGATGTCACTTATGGGACGCGGCATTTTAGTAGCTCGATGAAGAAGTCATGTTTGGGGGCGCGGCTCGATTGAGAGGTCACATGTAGGGCGCGACATTTTAACGAGTGTGGTTGACGTGCCGTGTTCGGAGTTTGGCATTCACTTGCTCCTATTAAGCAACCACGTCAGATGCTCGACATTTTGCACAACTTCAAATTGATGGGAGATCGGTGATTCAGACACTGTGGATTATCAAACTAGTCTATCTAGTAGAGTGCACGATAGCTCGTTTGATAATAGGAGGGCTAGATTATATAGCATAAAAGAGTGGCTCGGTAAATCGGCACATAGTTGTTCGGCCCAGAAGTAGCCCGGCCTGATAGTTCATTAGTAGCCCGACTTTAAGGGGCTCGACTTTATGGTATTACGGGTAGGTCGGTCCAACGGAGATAACTGTGGCCCAGCCATATTAGTGGCTCGGGTTTTAGATGGGTTACTGGCCTATTATATGATGGACACGTGTGGTGTTAGGATCAATAGGGATTGGAAGATCTAGCGGTCAAGGATGGAAGCGTGGAAAGCAAGCTAGACAGATATGCATAAATAGGTAAACTGGGAGACATGGTAGGTCTGAACATATGCACTCTTTATGAACCCTAATTCTAGACAGATCTTTGATTGATACTCGACTAACTTGAGCGTCGGAGGTTTACCGCCGGGATACTTCCCAGCGTCTTTGCAGGTCTTTGAGGGCTCAAGCGGTTGAGGGTCAAGAAGAGCCGGTTCAAAAAGCAATAGCATATCACGGACGGTTCGAGAAATTTAAGATATATATTTCAAATAGAATTTCATACATATATTTTAGAGAGAATTTCAATTACATTTCAGATAAATTTCAGATAGATTTAATTTCATATAGACTTACGTCCAGTTAGATTATAGCCCAGTCAGATTTAATTTCAGTCAGAATATGGTCCAGACTTAGAAATATTTCAGAAAACTCTAGTATGCCTCAAAGACAATAATATTTTCAAAAATCAGCTCGTAAATCACAAAATTATTTTAAAGCAGAGTGAGCGAACCTAGACAGATCAGATAATAAAAATTCAAGTTTTATTCTGAGCCTAGTACGTAGAATATTTCGCATATAATTTTGTAGCTTGAGGAGAGTCGAGCCTCCGTCAGCTACCCATTTCAGCATTTTCAGCATTTGCTTTCGACAGTTTCCAGGTGCGGACCACTGTACTGTGTATTTCATCGCTTTTGATAATTTACCATGTTTGAGGTCTTTATGTGATTTCATGGTTACCTGTCTCTTTGAGAGGTCTTCAAACGGAATGGCGAACTTCCGTGTACTCCACATGCTTGAAGATCTAACGAATGTTTGCAATATGAATTGGTGCTCATTTATGATACGATGTCTCGTTGACACAAAGAGAGCATGGGACGCTATAGGTGGTAAACAGAAGAAATATACTGGGCCATTATTGTTTTTGACGGTCAATTGTTCCGTGTACTTCAATTTAATTGTGTCGTTTGGTTCCTATTATAGTTTTTGTGTTGTTTTCTAATTGTTGGTTGTTCGTTGCAGTTGTTTTATGTGGATAAGGTTGTCTTGTCGATGAGATCCGTTGCAAG